ATATTGTAATATTCTTTTCAAAGCTTTACATAGTTGGTCATTAGCATTAATCTGAAATCTACTTAGATAACAAACTGAGGTGGCTAAATTAGGTCTTGTCCCCATTGTTGCATACATCAATGAACCTATCAAAGATCTACATTTTCTTTCACACAACTGATCAACAGTATCTGTTTCATCTAATTTTAAGTGAACATCCATTAGAGTATCAATACTGTTACAATTTATCATACCGTATTTTTCCAAAATACTATGCAAATATCTTGTTTGATCTATATAAATGGAATCTGAACTTCGCGAAATTAATATGCTTAAATACATCAAGTCTTTATCACCATGTCTTTCATTCTGAATTTAGTAAATAGAATTTTTTTTAGTGAATTTATTTCATGTATACTATTTCCTAAAATTAATAAATACTACATTACTATGGCATGTATGCATATAATGGTAAGCAACTTTTTAAATATTTTATATATTAGAATAGCATCAGAAGTTCCAAAGTATTTTCATCATTTGCTAAAAATAATTTTATTAAATTAAAAAATGAAAAGATAATTTATTTTATTTACATATACATACATAAACCATTATAAAAGCATTTATAAATTGTTATTAAATGAAACATAAAATAAACTCTATGAAACAAAAAACGCAAACTGAATCCTTTACTGTCGAATGTCAGTCGACAATGACTACATAGGATAGTACACATTAACTCAAACTTTTAAAAAATTTGATTCACAAGGAGTTAAAATTAAAGTGACAAATTGATAAATCTGTAAAACAAACTTTCTAAAATTTAAAATATGCCACTATATCATTTGCATTACATGCAAAATGTAAGTAATATATTAAAATATGTCGTATCTATAAAATAAACTCTGAAAAACTTAACGCCTTATACATAAACATAACGTCCCTCTTATCACGTAGGGGCGTATAATCCAAAAAATGAATTTAGTTTCACTGTTTCAGGAAGAGACTTTCAGTTGTAAAAATACCAGAATATCAGGAATTCTTTAGATCCTTGCTACATACAGAAGAATAAACTTATCGTTACTGTTTTATGAACTATGTCACCATGCAACATTGCAATGTTATTGTAGGATATTTTTATTTTCTAATATTGACTTACATCTCTAGGTGATAATAGGGACGATAAAAATAAACCTTTAAAAACTTAAACCGTCTTCATCATATTATATTGGTATCCTTATTGCTCACTGACATGTAGTTGAAGATGTTTATACATGAAAATGAAATATAAATATTAGTATTAGGAATCAAAATATAAAATAAGTAGTCATAATTTATGTAATTTTTAAATAACATCTATCTGTTACGATACATGAAATAAGCTTTACATTAAGTACTTTTAAACTTTTTTACTTTTCTAGTATGAGAATCACTAATTCTTTTATTGCACTTTTTATCTTTAATATACTTGTAAATTACTAAACGTATACATTTATCAACGATAGTTTCTTGAATGTTATGCTGTTCACAGAATTGGTAAGATTCCATGATATTAGATAGATGTTGTTTAAATTTGGATTCTATTTCGTTTTTGTGACCATGTTCTTCAAGAAATTGATATAGTCTCTCATGAATCTGGTCAATTAATTTAATAACATGGTCACTTGCATAAGTAAGTCTTTGTTTTTGGTCGTATTCCTTGAACTGAACATATAAATGTTTTTCTGTTGTGACTTGTGAAAATATATTTTGCCTGCATTTAGAACAATCAGGTATATTAATTTTGCTAAGTATATAACCAGCAACATATGAAGTTGCTCGATTATTCTCATTAAAGTTATTGACAACTGAAGCATCGAAATCAACATCTACATCAAATGTTTCGTCTGTATTTTCGGAACAATAATATTTATCTAAAAGCACAGTAAGATTGCCTAAAGACCTGCAGGAATCTTCTTCACAATTACTGCCTTTAACAAGTGGAATGCCAAAATTATTTACTACCACGGTTTTTAAAGCAGCAACAAACTGATGGCAGGTAGGATTAGAATTAGCTATACCGTGTTGCCGAATTTGACAAAAAAGGTTTTCTAATGGATCTTGATTTAAATTTCTTGGTGATAAATATTTTAATCCCATTTCTTTTAAATTGCCCCAGAGATGAATAATTGCTTGAATGGTTACCTGCCACCCATTTATAAATTTAAAATTATGCCTTACATTATTACTTTTTGGATCTATAACTTTCCAGTTTCTTAGTTTAGATAAAATATCTAACCAAAATTCCATATGTGGTGAATTATCGGAAAGGGGACATTTAAATTTTTTACCACTGGTTTCTTGTTGATTTGATCCATTCAGTGAATCAAACATGTTGTCAACAATATGCACAAATTCTGCTGTGAGAAGTGATTCCGCAGGTAAATCACCAAAAACTGAAAATGTTTCTATTGTAGCGGCAACTGTTTGACTCAATAGTTGTGCAGCAACTTTAACTTTCATTTTTTGAAAACTATCTTTGAAATTAAAATAATTTGGATTTAATTTATATAAGTGTTTATATGTTCGTTTTTGCTGATCCAGATTATATGCGTTTTGAATATGTTCAAATTTTGCTATTTTACCCTTTTCAAATTCAATGACATTGTTAATTAAGGCATTACGTGTATTTTTAAGAAGATGTGGTACATCGAAAATTGTACAAACACATTGACCATTAACAACAAAGTAATAAGGACTTCGATTGTCTGTATTTTCTGCACAAAGAGCTTCAATTGCAGATCTGTTTGTTGGGCCTTGATCGCAAACAGTAGCAACAATCTTTAGTCCTATATTTTGCAATTCATTAATTATAAACACAATAATCTGTTTCAGGTCTATTGTTGCCACAGTGTCCTTTACAAAGTAATATGCTACAACCTGTTTATAGCTTTTGCGAACTCCCCTTATCATAAAAACTAAAGCATGATTTGCAGCTTTATCTGAGCGTTTATTTCCTAAATCTTCAAACCCGCAAATAATTTGTTTATTACTTTCATAATAAAACCCTGAACTTAAACTTATTTCGTCAAAAACAAGAGAGCAACAACAGTCAAGTTCATCCATTTTTTCAACTTGTGTTTTCAAATATACTAAAACTGGCTTTATTATTCCGCACTGAAAAGATATGTTTGATAAAACTGTCTTCTTACTGAGGGCAATTCAAAATATGTTCGTAGATATTTATATAATCTAGGGCTGCGTTTATAGACTGACAATGCAAAAGCCTTATCCTTTAAAGTCCATCGTCTGCCTTTGGAAGACCTATTGACGTTACGCAACTGGGAATTAATAAATTCTTTACTAATATCGTTAAGATTTTCCTCGATAAATTGAAACCTGCCATCATTATATAAATTTTTTAAAGAATTTGTGTGAGTGAGTGAGCCCTCTCGTTTTTCAACAAAGATCTCAGTTTGCTTAATTTTGAAGTAGTGTTACGATGGATTTTGTACATTATTGTTTCCCGAGGTGTTAAATCATCTTTTGAAATATCCAATTTACCAAGCATACCTTTTTTATTTTCTAATAAAAATGAATATTTATCGGAATGGTCTGTTGTTTTTGAAAAATTTGTCACTTTATCAGATATTATTTTACAATGAGAGTGTTCGCCTAGCAGAGAATTATTATCAAAGTTAGAAGTTTCCGTTACATCATCAAGGCTATTAGCAAGGGCACTACTCGAACAACATGGGCTATCCTGAGCCAATAGAGAAAAATTTATATTAAGCGATGGTAATTCATTTAGTTCTGGTTGTTTATCAGGCACTTCACAATTCAAAGGTTCATCACTTGAATGTACTGAAGGTTTAGGAACAGTTTTCGGTAAGATCCTATTACGAATTTGAGGACAAGCAAAGTCGGCATCTATAAAATGGCTATCACAAAGGAAAAAATTTTTACAATTAACATTTGGTGAAATATTACAAGTATTTTTCCATATTTGCAGTGACTCAGGATCCCTCGGGAATCTATGAAATTTTTTATTATGGTAAGAGGGGATTTTCACAGGATGATAGTAAGAATTTTTGCATGATGGATATTTACAAGAATAACATAACTTACCAATAACAGATGATGTAGCGGTATCTGCCATGGTTTATAATTTAAAATATATAATACAATATACATACAATAATTACATATAATAATTACATTAAAATCACAAAAAATCACAGACCTGTTATTTATATATACTCATCTAATATCACAGACCTGTCAGTCTTATATAATTTTCTTGATCACATGCGGAAGTATTGTTTACATTTTTCCATACCTACCTAAAATTATAAATAAAATTAGTAAAATATGTCAAGCATAATAAAATGTCGCTTTTAAAACCAGCAAAAATTTCGTTAATTAAAGCAATTAATAGATTTTTAACCACTGTTCTTATTTTCAATTTACTTTACTGGAAATTCTCAACAACTAGTTCTTTAAATCATTTTAACTGTACTCTGAACGACCATTTATGCTTTATGTAATTATCAAAAATAATAAATATGCAAATTATATAGTGTTAAATGTAAAGAATATAAGACACTAGAAGTAAAAATAAATGTATATTTTTCTTTTACATAACACTTCTCTATATTTAATAGGAAAACTTGCTCAATTTAATATTTACTTACCTTTTTGCCAATACTTCCAATATTTTTCGCATACTTACTACAACCACATAATATAACCAAAAAAAACAAGTCATTGTAAACAAACAAACAAATAAACGTGAATTTCAGTGTGGAAGTTAGTAAAAAAATTTAAAGACACTAGATTTTACCTAGTGAAAAAATTTGTAACAAACGTAACAAACTTAAAGTTACTTCCTTTTCCTCACCCCGTTCTTCGTATGTCTGTAACTTCTACGATTTGAGTTACAGAATACCAATTTTAGGAAACGATCGACGCGATAGATATTGAACTTTACGATTTGCGAACATTTCGACTCGATACTCGATCTGAGCATTTCGATGCAAGTTACAGAATAGGGCTGAATATCTATCGCGTCGATCGTTTCCTAAAATTGATATTTTGTAACTCAAATCGTAGAAGTTACAAATCGTAGAGAAAGACCTCGATTCGATGCCGGTTTAGCATAATGGCAACAACGCAATTCTCTGCGATTATAGACTTTAATAACCAAGTGACATTTAGAGAGGTTAGAAATTTCAAAATATGAAATATGCAAATTAGCTGTAAAAATAAGATAAATGTGCCTTTTACAACATTTACCACAGGTATAAAAAGTGAAATTTACGCACAGTTGACTTGCAGATGTGTTTTAATAGGAAATCTCATGTTCGGTAAATTTAATTGTACCTACCTAGTAGATTGTATAGTTTAGTTTAAAAATACATTAATTTTGCTGTAATCTTTCGAGAAGTTCATTACTGAAAAATATCAATGATGTCAGTTCCAACTCCAATAAAGAAAAAAACTTCTTCAGACCAGCTGAACTACATGGTAGATTTCATTACGCTGCTCAAAATTTTACTTCATGGTAAAACTAAGCCCTCTGAAGCTAATATTATTGAAAAGTTGTGGGATGAATTAACAACTGCATTAAATGCTTTGGGTTCAGGTCCCAGTAAAACAAAGCTGCAGTGGAAAAAAGTAAGTCATATTTTATAAATTTTAAATTAGTTTCTATGTGTACGTGTGTATTTTGTAGACTTTTATCGACTGGAAAAGTAACACAAAAGAGAAGGCTAGGGAATGTTATAAATCTGAGCAAAGGACAGGTGGAGGTGAGGGAGATGCAAAAAAAATGACACCATTAGAAGAAAAATTAGTGGCAATATTGTCTTGGATGACTGTGAATGGAACAGATGTGCCTGAAATAGGACTTGATGAAAACAGGCTACCTATGGAAAAAAATGAGAAACTATTAATGAAAATGAAATTGATGGAATTGAGCCATTATTTCTAAGCACCTCAGCATGGGTGAAGTTAAGGGGGGGCTAAACCCCCCAAAATCCGAATTAGCCCCCCCAAAAACATTACTACAGAACAGAAAATAAAAAACATATTTTTTTGACAAAAAAATTGTATAATTTAATAACTTCTTACTTGAAAGTTATTTCAATTGAAGCCAAGTCGGCGTCACTGCCCAACAGAAGTCGGAATTGATAAAGAGGTTTTAAAGGCGGAAACGACCGTAATAAAGAACTGTGTCAGGAAACGGGACGAAAATATTAGTATATCCGATATTATTATATATTGTCAGAAAAGACACATTTCCAAATTTTAAGGTCAACCATGGATCAAGATCGATTCAGTTCTTTAGCACTTGCTAACATTGAGAGCGACATTTCAAAATCCCTGATTCTAGACGATATTCTGGAAGAATTTATTTTAATAACTTTTAAAATAAAATTATTTGACTGAAAAAATTTTTTTTTTTCCATTTAATTTTAATATTTATGGATTGGTAGAAAAATATACTTACCTTACTTTGATACATACACAAAGATAAAATGAAAAAAATATATACATTTTTTCATATTAGGGCTTTAGCCCCCCCAGATCCGATAACAACTTCGCCCATGCAGCTCAGAACATCTAATGGAATATATTGGTGTTTTTATTAATACAAAAACAAATATGCTAATTAACAATGTTTTTTTTGTAATACAGGTGGAATTGAAGGAACCGAGCAGGAGCCATTGCCAAGTACTTCAAAACGTCCAGCAGAACCAATTTATTCAGAGATGAAGAGGAAAAAATTAAGAAAAGGTGAATGCTTAAATGATTTTTATAAAATTTAGTACTTATTATTTAAAGAATTTTAATTACTATATGAAAATATTAAATTAAATAAACTATCTTTGTAGTAATTTGCAAAAAGCAATAGAAGCATATACATCAGGTCAAAAAGAAATGGCAAGTTTATTGGACAAACTACTATCTCTAAAAAATTCAGGTGTGGAAGGTGAGAAATTCAGAGAGAAAGAACTTGAGCTAAAGGAAATGGAATTGAAAATAAAATGGTTGGAAGCAAAAAATAAATCAATAGAATTAGATTTAAGAGAAATTGAACTGAAGATGGAGGCGAGAAAAATAGGGTACAATCTGCTTGAACTATAACTTTATTATTTGTTAAAATAAAGGTATATTTATACAAGTAGTAATAAAAATAATGTATAATTAGTTATTATTTATTACAGGATACAAATGTTAATGAAAATAATTTCTAATCAGCTGATTTCTAATTCTACGCCCAACAGCTAGTAAGTTACCATTTTCGGGCTCTGAAAAAAAATAGGATAATATTAAAAATTAGTATAAAAAATAACAGCAGAATAGTAAAAAAGAAAAAGATAACTATTTCTTAAAATTAAATACCGTTATTTGGTCGATTGTTTTCAAATGCCTCAAAAATTTCAAAATTTTCTTCTACTTCCACATTATGTGATACAAGTAGTAAGTAGTTTTTAAAACTCCATCGTTCAACTGTATTCCTTACTCTAATATTTGCAGTTGTGTATCAAGCTTCTGGCGTATCTTCCTGAGCCCTTTCTATCGGTGTTAATAACCATGGCTGTAAAGGATATCCCGAATCGCCTGAAACATCACAATATAGTTTAAATTGAAATAGATAACAAATTTTGCCCACCTAGTAACCAAAAACCATGTTGGTTTTCTTGATAACTATGTTCCATATGGTTATACATGTTTGACATATTCCAAATAGCCGAGTCATGCATAGATCCAGGATATCTAGCATTACAGTGTAATATTTTCAAGTTTGAGTCACAAATCTAAAAATGTTTATATAAGTATATGTTTCAATACACATTTTTTAAGAAGTATCATACAATTTGGCAATTGATGCTATGAAATCCTTTTCTGTTCAAATATACAAAACCAGGATGCTGTGCATGATTAATAATTATTGCTATATGCGTACAGTCTATGCAGCCTATTACTACAGGGAAATTAAATTTTTTTCATAAAACTAAAAATAATTCTGTAATATTCTTATACATCCAAAGGCACAGGCTAACTTAATCCTGCCTTTGACTTACTGTTACTTTCATTTCCATGTTTCTGGAAAATGTAATATATCTTCCACTTAGATGTGTTGTGATTATAAAACTAATTTCTCCAAAACAACGGCTAAGTACTGGTTGACTTAATCCTAAAAAATAATCCTGACCTATTTTTTTTATAACTGCTATGTCCATAAAACTGCACGCACGCACGCACCCACCCACGCACGCACCCACACACACACCCGCGCACACACACCCTACACACCAAAAACTTGACAAACTCAATAACAAACAAATGACAGACAATATACCCCAGACAGGCACACACATACCCCCCCCCACACACACACACACCCCGCACACACACGGACAGAGAAACGCAAAAAACACACGGCGGAATCCTCTAGCGAGGACGACGATTAAAAATCAGACAAAACAAACAAAACACGACCACAAACACCAAATACGCGCCCCCCGACACCTAAACCCGGCCTCCACAACCGCCTTACAAAACACCCCACAAAACACACAACAGACAGACAAAACCAAACAAGTCCCCCCGGTAATCTTGCGAAAGCAAGAACGGTGGACACAAGTACAAAAAATACACACGACACTTAACATTAACTACACAAAAGCCAAACTCACTAAAGACGGTATAGCCATATACCCGCCGCGCGCCATTATTCTATGACTATAAATTGGCCTCAATGATTTGGGATCGAGGGGGATTCACCCTCTCNTTGCAAATTATTCATTATATTTAGAATTAATAACAAATTATTTGGATCCATTACAAATTTCAAATGATTACGCACCTTCGAACAGCGAATGAATGAAGTGACAATTCGCGCATGAGCATGAGATGAGATTTGGATTCAAACTATTCGGAGAAAACGTCAATTCCCCCGACAAAACCCTGTGGAATTATTTCTCTTGATATCTAGAGAAAATATTCCACAAGAAAATTTCAAAAATCACATTATCTGCGTGTCAAGAGAAAATGACGTAATTTTCTCTAATGAACTAATTCTCCTGTTTTCAAAAATCAAGCCCCAGGCACGCTCGAGCTAATATAACATAACACCATGAAGTAAAATTTTGTGCAGCGTAATGAAATCTACCATGTAGTTCAGCTCACAAAACATATAAATACAAGAAGGTCGTTTTCAAAATACCAAAATGGAAACACCACTGACATTAAAGACAACAACTGGTTCCCGCACTGTGTCTGGACACCCAAAAAAATAGAACTAAAGATAGCCGAGACGATAATGATGATTACTTTATAATCTACCACCTCCGTAGGTAAAACAGATGCCACTTTGCGCGGACTTTTGAAAATACATTCTAAGAGTCGTATGACACTATACTAAAATCAGAACTAATTTCAGTAATTAATTAAAAACTTTTTAATCAGGCATAGTATCATACACAAATTGCAACAAAAATATAGCAGTTTCTGTATGATATTATGCAAGATTAAAAAGTTCCTAGTTAATTACTGAAATTAGTTCTAATTTTAGCATAGTCATACGACCCTAACTCTATTTTTTTTAATATTTAAAAATATATATGATATTATGATTTATAATGGTAAAATCGTATTATACTCGTTTAAATAAACTGAGAAAAAAACTGAAAAATTTATAAAACAGTATTTATTAGCAATTTTAATGTGGTTATTAATGTTGCATACAAACAAACAATTCTATTCACAAACTTTATATTTTCTGTTAAACCTTTTTTCTAAACACAAAAAAATGGAAAGTTGACGGATAAAAAACAATCTTTTAACAATAAGAATGTTTAGACATCATAAATAAATAATAAAATACCATCAATCAATCAATCAATTAACAATATACATATCATCGTTGAACTTACAAACTGTGACGTGCATATTTTCAGCAATGTGTTAAGTGCATAATCTGTTTCAAAAACAGCTATCTTATTTTCTACAATCTATAGAATGGTGTCTGCGGAAAAATTAAAAATAATTGTAGTAATTTTTAAATAAAAAAAGGCAAAGAAAGAGATTTTTAACTCCACTGAACAATTTGATAAAATAAACATATAGCATTTTGAGGGCACAACGACGATATCTAATTATAAGATGTCATTTCGTTTCATATTTGCGAAATATTGGTATCTAATTTTACAAATTCAAATTTGAAATTACTACATTACTATGGCATGTATGCATATAATGGTAAGCAACTTTTTAAATATTTTATATATTAGAATAGCATCAGAACTTCCAAAGTATTTTCATCATTTGCTAAAAATAATTTTATTAAATTAAAAAATGAACAGATAATTTATTTTATTTACATATACATACATAAACCATTATAAAAGTATTTATAAATTGTTATTAAAAGAAACATAAAATAAACTCTATGAAACAAAAAACGCAAACTGTCGAATGTCAGTCGACAATGACTACACACAAGAGTACACATTAACTCACTTTTAAAAAATTTGATTCACAAGAAGTTAAAATTAAAGTGACGAATTGATAAATCTGTAAAACAAACTTTCTAAAATTTAAAATATGCCACTGTCATTTGCATTACATGCAAAATGTAAGTAATATATTAAAATATGTCGTATCTATAAAATAAACTCTCAAAAACTTAACGCCTTATACATAAACATAACGTCCCTCTTATCACGTAGGGGCGTATAATCCAAAAAATGAATTTAGTTTCACTGTGTCAGGAAGAGACTTTCAGTTGTAAAAATACCAGAATATCAGGAATTCTTTAGATCCTTGCTACATACAGAAGAATAAACTTATCGTTACTGTTTTATGAACTATGTCACCATGCAACATTGCAATGTTATTGTAGGATATTTTTATTTTCTAATATTGACTTACATCTCTAGGTGATAATAGGGACGATAAAAATAAACCTTTAAAAANTTTTATTCTATAAGTAGTTCTGACTATAATCGTTACTAAATTTATCGATCTGTCCTACATTTATATTTGTATTTGTTGAAATTAATTTAAATAAATTACTATTCTCATCTTCTGTGTTTATACAATGCATGTATGTTAAATTAGCTAACTTTTTATGGATCATTTGTATTAATTTATTGATATTCAGTATTTTTAATTTACAAGTTTTTGATTAATATCTTGTTATTTATAACAAACTGGCTAGTTCTACGAGTTTTCCATATTAAATTTCATTTTTACATTTTCTACTCTGCTTTACTTTTAAAAATTTAGAGGTATTTACTTGTTTATTATTATTATTCAATGATTTATTGTGTTATATTTAGTATTTTGCTATCATTTAATTTCAATTATACAATTTCCTTTGAACATTGAATTTTTTTGTTATTCTATCTTATTATTTCCTGTAGATATTGAGTTTCTGCTCTTTCTTCTATTGTTAACAATTTGTGAATTTCACAATATATATATATTCTGCTCTTGTCTTATAGAAATTAGTTTTATAAAAATATTAAATACCTAACGAAAAAATAAAAATATCCAAAATAACAATTAAATAACAAACGTAATTTATCAATTCGAAACTATTTACTGTTTTGTGCGAATGCCTACTACTACTAGCAATAAGTTTTATGAATAAACAAAAAATCGTTGCAGTTTAGAAAAATGATTTTGTTTACATACTTGGATTTTAATCTATTGCGCCATTCTGCTATTATTTGACGTGCCTTGGGGAATCACTGTTCACTTGGAACAGATGTAGCCACGATGGATTTTTGCTAATATTGACAACTCAGGGTATTTTGAACGTGTTGTTGACTATTGTGGGAAGTCGACGTAGAAACAAAGGCGCATATGGTGCCGACTGGGACTACCCAAGATTAGTAAACGGGAATGTTGCCTATAAACTCTGACCTTGAACTGACCAATAATGTAGTAGTATTTTTGTGGCGGGAATACGTCATCGAGAGTGAGTATGAATTTTTATGTTGATATTATGTACTGACATGCACATAATTATATTTCATATGCAAGTATTATATATTTTTATTGATTGCAATTTAAAAAAATATGTATATACCACAACTTATATACATTCAGTACATAAATAATTTAAAAAAATATTTAAAAAATATATACCTATTAATAATTAACAAAATTTTACCAATATAATAAATAGAACAAAACTCCCGACAATACCAACAAATACTAACCATGACACAGCAAATCGTCGATTTGCAAAAAACAATTAAACTTTCGGACGAAAACACCACTAAATTACACCAAAAACTTGACAAACTCATTAACAAACAAATGACAGACAATATATCCCAGACAGGCACACACACACACCCCCACACACACACACCCCGCACACACACGGACAGAGAAACGCAAAAAACACACGGCAGAATCCTCTAGCGAGGACGAAGCCCCAAGACATAAAAAATCAGACAAAACAAACAAAACACGAACACAAACACCAAACACGCGCCCCCCGACACCTAAACCCTCCACAAGCGCCCTACAAAACACCCCACAAAACACACAACAGACAGACAAAACCAAACAAGTCCCCCCGGTAATCTTGCGAAAGCAAGAACGGTGGACACAAGTACAAAAAATACTCACGACACTTAACATTAACTATACAAAAGCCAAATTGACTAAAGACGGTATAGCCATATACCCAAACACACCTAATGACCACAGACTATTGACAAAGACACTGACAGACAAAGGCGAGGAGTACCACACCTTCACCCTCAGCGAAGAAAAAACGCTGAGGGTGGTGATACGCGGAATACCTGCGGGTGTTTCGCCAAGTGAGGTCCAACTCGACCTCGCAAGACAAGGGTTCCCCGGCGCAATAGTGCACCGCATGGCGAGCCGTCAAAATAAACAGGAAATGCCCCTGGTCCTAGTTCAGGCCCCACAGGACCAGGAGGACATCCTGAAGGTAACCCGCTGCTGCTCGCTCGTGGTTCGAGTAGAGCTGCAGCGAAAGCAGCGGGTTGCCACACAGTGCCACCGGTGCCAGCGGTTCGGCCACGGCCAGACCCGGTGCACAGCTGAGCCAAAGTGCGTAAAATGTGGCGAAAACCACAGCACGCACGTATGCAAAAAGGCCAAAGACACGCCCGCCAGGTGTGCAAATTGCGCCGGGCCACACCCCGCCAGCTATATGGGGTGCCCTCAGTACCCCAAAGCTAAAAACACAAAAACACAAAACACAGACACACACACGACACAAAACACTACACAAACACACAGACAGCCCCTCCT